GGTTTATTTGTAATCTAGATTTTGTTGTAAATAAAATTGTAAATTTTTAATAGATCAAAATGAGAATCTAAAAGAAAAAAACTAAGCGTGGTAAAACGTCACATGAAATTATTATTACTGCAGCAAAGAAGGTGATAAAAAATGAAAGACCCAGGGCCGCCGCTAAAGTACTGGCCGCCCGTGTGCAACTTAACATTTGCCACCCCCCTTCCAACACTTCAGACATACAAACTATTATTTAAAGAAATGTGTTAGAAGATGCATAATATAACAATAATAATCTGTAAAAAGATAAATACTTACTTGAACATTTAGAATAATTTCCATGATCCTTCTTCTTCTTTGGGTGCCGTGTCCGTATTCAGACGTTGGCCGTCATCATGCTTACAATTTCCTGAAACCTTTCTCTGTCGGCTGCTGCGCGAAATAATTCTTCTACTGTGAAACCACACCATTGTCTAATATTACGCAGCCATGAAAGTTTCTTTCGACCAATCCATCTCTTTCCTTCCACTTTTCCTTGTATTATAAGGCGAAGTAAATGGTATTTGGGTCCTCTAATTATATGGCCGAAGTATTCTGTTTTTCTCCTCTTTATGATGTTTATGAGCAGACGTTCTGAGTTGATCATTTGAAGAACATCTTCATTGGAAGTGTGCGAAACCCACGATATCTTTAGGATTCGTCTATAGCACCACATTTCGAATGCTTCTAACTTGTTTAGCATTGTGGTTTTTAACGTCCATGTCTCACAACCATACAATAGGATCGACCACACATAACATTTCAGGACCTTCTTACGAATGTTCATTGACAGGTTTCTGTTGCATAAAACTGGTTTCCAGGTCATAAAAGCCTTACGTGATATTTCGATCCTGGATATTATCTCTTCATCAGAGTCACAATTTACATTTAACCAGCTGCCAAGGTATTTGAAATGATTTACCCTTTCTATCTCTTCTCCATTAAGAGAAAGCAGACCTTGATCTATATGGATCTTTCCAACTACCATCCACTTTGTCTTTGAAATGTTGATTTTTAGGCCTCTCCGATAACTTACTTCCATGATCCAACGTCCATATATTATCCTAATGTATATCCTAATGTATCCATGATCCAACTTCCAGAATATGTATATCCTAATATCCTAATTTAAACGTCCATTTAATTAAAATAAACCGTGAATAGAAACATAAACACATGAAAAAAACTAAAAACGCACTTTTCGGTCTTTCGTCTCGGAAATCTTTTTGACAATATCTTTAATGTCCAATGTCGCACACACTTCATGTTTTATAGATAACATTGCTAAAGAAGAAGATCTATCTTGCTTCATTGAGGATCGCAAATAGTTTTTAATAATCTTAAGTTTTGAAAACGACCGCTCACCCGTAGCTACAGTAACAGGTAGAGTTAGGAATATACGTACCTACTATTTTAGTTAAGTTGGGAAGTGTTGATACAAGATTATTTTCGTAAATATATTCAAGAATATCACTAGGAGTTTTTTCTGCAAAAAAATGGTTGAATAGCTTTAATTTCTTCTTATAAATCGGTTGCACTAATGTCAGTCTTTGAGCTGTTTATGTCTGTAAGGGGCTTGATCCACTTTCTCACAATTGGTTTTAAGTTCATCATCGTTTTTAACTTTTGTTATGCCTTATATTGCACTAAAAATATCTGTGTGCTGTTGAAGTAATTGGAACCGTTCTTCAATTGCTGTTATGGCAGCATCCAAAATCTTAAAATAAAAATTTATTTTAAATGATAATTCTGGAGATAATATAGGTTCATCAGCTCCTTCATACTCAAAATGCACTTTTATTCTTCTAATTCGTTCGGTAGAGGAGCTAGGGAAAGATTCGGTTACAAAATTTTAAAAATGTTCATCAGAACGTTTGGTTATGAAATATTTTTTTAAATTATCAAGTGCACCAATTGAAGATTTTATGTCAAATTTTGGACTTTGAAGGATTTTGCTAACAACGTTCATTTTACTTAAAATATCTTGATACACTAAAACAGAACACATGAATTTGAATTTCCAAATTTTATTTTTAAGGGATTTTGCTAAAGTCATAGTATTAATATCCCTTGTGTTATCATTTTGCAATTCTCTTAAATCATCATATATTTCACCAATCTGGGTTTTTAACGGTGCGATTGCATCCGACTCTCCCATCGCGTGTCCGACAATGCTTTTAATGTCAACTTTGGAAGGTGCTTTAATAATGTGTTCCATCTAATATTGGAAGAAGAAAAAAATAGATATAGTTCCTGTACAGTATTAAAAAAATCCACCGACTTAAACATTTTTATTTTTTATTTTTACTGCATCATTCACCACCAGATTTAAACTATGCACAGAACAGGGAATAAAAAATGCTCGAGGATATTTGTCTAAGATTTTCTTCTGCAATCCAATGTGTTTACCACGCATATTGGCTTCATTATCGTAACCCTATCCACGCAAATTATTAACATTTATATTTAATTCATTTAGTTTATTTTCTATAAATTCAAACAAACTTGTCCAGTTACGTCAGTTACATCAGAAAAGCCCAAGAAGTATTCAAATATCTGAACTGGTGTTGAAGTTTGAAGTTGAAACACATCTTACTACAATTGTTATTTGTTCTACGTGCGTTATATCTGGGGTACAATCTAATATGATAGAAAAATATTTAGATTCTCGAATTTATTTTAGGATAACGTCCTGAACAGAATTTGCCAATAAAACAATCGATTCATTTTTATGTTGCCATCCTAAATAATGTGGTATATTTGTACTTTTGGATTCCACACGATGAAGATGCTCTGATAATATAGCGTCAAACTTAGAAATCATTTCAACTAACTGCAAATAATTTCCATTATTTGGTTCAAATAACTTATTGGATGATCCTTTAAAAGCTAAACATTGTTTAGATAAAAATTTTACAATTGATAATAATCTTTCAACAGCGCCAGTTTTTTCTCCATTTCATATAATTTTTGAAGAGCAGAGTCAACTGTTAATCCTTTCTTTTAGTGCTGTAGATAGTTCAAACAGTTTTTGAAAATATTTTAAATGAGATACACCGGATTCATGTCTTTTTAAAATAATAGCTAAATGTTGCCAGTCACTAATCCCATTAATTCCACTAAGTAATTGTCGGCTGCTTTCATCACAACAAAACAGTTTACAAGGTGCACAAAAAACACTATTTAGTGATAATGAGTAAAGTAACCACGGGCGATGAATTTGATCTTGATTAGGTAATGTGCGATAATAATAAGTTTCTGGACTAGCTAGCTGGAAATCAATAAGCTTTAGTATTTGAAAGAAAGGTTCTCAGAATAATGTTTGCATGAATTCACAGTGGATTGGAGAAGACGCCGCAAAGCTGAATTGGCGACTCTGTATGGAACTGAAAACATAATTACACAATATATCAAGGCAAACCGAATAAGATGGACAGGTCACGTGGTATGATCAGAGGATGACGTGTTAAAGAAGTGTTTTTTGTAAGACCAGATGATAGAAGATCAGTAGGTCGACCGAGAAAAAGATGGAAGGATGCTGTTGAAGCCGATTTATCTAGAATTGGGGTACAACAATGGGAAATAGAAGCGCAAGATCGTACAGGGGACAGACTGTGGACAGCGAAGCAGGAACTCGGCTTTCCAGAAAAACTAGTCAGGTTGATACGGATGTGTATGGAACGGTTACGATGTAAGGTGTGAGTTGGACAATAATACTCGGAGACATTTGAAATAAACAATTTACTAAAACTGATTTTAATTTTAAAAACAATTTACTGAAACACACGATTAAGGATGAAGGAGACTTTCGTGAGGTTCGAGAAGGAACCAGAGAAGATGGGGCTCCAAATCAATGAAAACAAGACGAAATATATGTATATGAGCCAAAATGACCAAAGCAGAAATAGAATCGGTCAGAACATCACCATCGATGACTTAAACTTTGAGCACGTTAGAGAATTCAAGTATCTTGGAACAACAATAACTAAAGTCAATAACGGTCACAAAGAATAAACAACAGGATTCAGGCCGGCAACAGATGTCTTTTTGCCGTCCAAAACCTTATAAAATCGAAACAACTAACAAGACGTACGAAGATACAGAAGATCTATAAAACAATCATACGACCCGTTGTGATGTATGGAAGCGAAACGTGGACGATAACAAAGCCAAACGAAGAGAGACGTATGTGTTTGGGAAAGAAAAATCCTAAGGAAGATCTTTGGTCTTGTGCTGGATGAAGCATCAGGACAATATAGGATAAGAACTAACAAAGAGCTCGAAAAACTTTACCCAGACGCCAACATCATAAAAGAAATAAAGTCCAGAAGACTCCAATGGGCAGGACACCTCAGAAGACATTCTGACGAACGAACAGTAAGACTGGTGTGGGAAGAAGTCCCAACTGGAAGGAGACCACGCGGACGGCCTCGTCTCCGGTGGCGAGATAATATAGCAGGGGACCTAAGCACTATGTGCGTGGAGAATTGGATGGAGGTTGCTCAAGACAGAAAACAGTGGAGGCATATTGTCGAGTCGGCTAAAACCCACGAAGGGTTGTAACGCCACGGAGTAAGTAAGTAAGATCGTAGAGGATGGAGGGCGATAGTGGATGCGGCGAAGACTCACACCGAGTTGTAAAGCCAGCGAAGAAACAGAAGAAGAATGCACAAAAAAATAAAATGTAAAAATTGTAACAACTAACCCCGGTCTCCCTTACTTGTTATCAATTCTACATGAAAACAGAAATTTCGCTGACATCTAGAAAATTCTTCTTCTTTTTCGTCAAAGGACTTTTTTATGGTATAAATCTTATGGAACTGTTCTAACAGTACGATGTGATATAGATTCATTTTGTCGCAGGGGTTAGGAATTTATAAACAGACGTTTTACAGAGAAGCAGCGTTACACCTGACTTTTTATCTGCTGTATTATGTCTTTAGTATACGAAACAATTCCCAATAAAAAAGTATTTTAGTATATATATTTAATTATAAATGTGAAAATGTTTAAAATATACATATTATACATTGTTATAAGATGTGTCGCTAACATAGTCCTTAATAATAAGTAGAAAATATTACTGACTAGAATCCAATCTCATGGTTTATTTATATATTCACATATTTTATAATTATTTGCGTCATCATTGCGTCGTTTCTTTCGGAGTGTGTTTATTTTCTTCGCTATGTTTAATTCCGTAAAAGAAGTATACCAAGCAACCTGAAAAAAACAATATTGGTTCAGAATAGTATACAGGGTGGTCCTTAAGTAATTGTACAAAAAGAAACCGCAGATTCTATACTTTAAAATATTACGATTTAAGTCAACTTTAATAAAATGTTGACATTAAAAAAGATACAGGGTGTTAAAGTGGAAATTTAAAATTTTATTTTTCGCTATAACTTTCATGTTTGTAGATATTTATGTATAAAAATTTACAGCTGGGTACTATTTAATATAAGGAATTATAATTTGATACATACTTTGATATAGCTAAGAGAGGGCGCCACATATGCCACATACGTGGCATACATTTGTACTTAACTTTTTGGTTCTTCAAGTTACCGGTATTTTTGATAAAAAATATTAAAGATACATTTTTTTTTAACAAACAAAAGGTATACTTGTTAATAACTTCAAAACTTAACAGTTAACATTAACAATGAAAGAAAAATAGATAAAAACATTAATACTTCTGGATTTTGTTATAAAATACCTTTAATAAAGTCAATAATTAACGAAATATTAAATAAAATAAATATATCAGCAGGATAATTAATAATAGGATTTGATAAACTAACAGAATAATTGGATTGTACATCAAACATTGTACGTTTTGTAATAAATTAATGTCATAATCAAAACATTTTATTTACAAACCAAATAAGGAAATAGTTAAACTAAATAACATTAAACTTTTTGTCAAAGTAAGTGTTCGATATGTCCACCATTTTCTTTAATTCATAAGAAACTGCTGCAGTATTTATTATAGTAGTTTTTCATATATCATTCATCTTCACATATAATTTATATGTGTTTTTCATCACATTTTTCGCCTTAAGTTTGATGACAATTCATCCAATAAATCAATAAAATCATTTTATAAAAAATGTAAATAAATCTCACCATTCAAATTGAAAGGTAATTCGCATATCCGTAAAATATCCTTCAAAATTCATATTTAAAATGCATGTCCTATAGTTTGGAACCATTGATAATTATTTTTTACGGATATGCGAATTACCTTGCAATTTGAATGTCGAGATTTATTTACATTTTTTATAAAATGATTTTATTGATTTATTGGAAGAATTGTCATCAAACTTAAGGCGAAATATGTAGTTTCTACAAGATGGTACACCATTATATTACAGAGAAAGCGGAGTGAGACAGTATTTAAATACAACTTTCCTGAGCGTTGGATTGTTCATGGTAGTCATATTCTTGTGGTGACATATTAATATAATTATTTATTTCGTAAACATTTAAAAAAACTACTTATTATTATACTTATAACACTTATAATAAATACTGCAGCAGTTTCTTTAGAACCAATGACGCTATTTAATACGAGACGATATTTTATGGAATGTATTGACAAATGAATTAAAGAAAATGGTGGACATATTGAACACTTACTTTGACAAAAAGTTTAATGTTATTTACTTTAACTATTTATTAATTTGGTTTGTAAATAAAATGTTTTGATTATGACTCTAATTTAATACAAAACGTAAAATGTTTTATGTAAAATCCAATTATTCTGTTATTTATCAAATCACATTATTTTATCCTGCTGATATATTTATTCTATTTAATAATTCATTAACTAATAACTTTATTAAAGGTATTTTATACCAAAATTCAGAAGTATTGATGTTTTTATTTAATTTTCTTTCGTTGCCTGAAGTAATTGCGATAAATCAGAATTATGTAGTTGATTTCTTAAATACAATTATACGATTAAGTACATTTTTTTGTTAAAATAATGTATCTTTGATATTTTTTATTAAAAATACCGGTAACTTAAAGAGCAAAAAAGTTACGTGCAAATGTATGCCACATATGTGGCGCCCTCTATCAGCTACATCAAAATATACATTAAATTATAATTTCATATATTTTACATTACCCAGTTGTAAATTTTTATACATAAATGTGGACAAACATGAAAGGTATAGCGAAAAATAAAATTTTAAATTTCCACTTTATCACCCTGTATCTTTCTTAATATCAACATTTTATTAAAGCAACTTGACTTAAATCGCAATATTTTAAAGTGTAGAATCTACGGTTTCTTTTTGTACAATTTTTTAAGGACCACCCTGTATATTATATATTTTGGGTTTGTAGACATCTTTTGGTCTTTAAGTGAAACTCTTTAAGGTTTGCTGGCAACTCATACCATTGATTATAAACCACCACCAGGTGGTTTATAATCATTGGTCATACTAACGAAAAGCAAACAAAATAGTACTTTATAATTGATCTATTAGCGTTGATTGAATATTCCAAATGGAATATTCAATCAACGCTATTAGATATTATATTAGATATTGATCTGTCTCTCTGCGCCTATGTTTATGCAACCTTCATCGCACATTTTGGCATAATAGATAGAATTATTATTCCTAGTACACAGAACACCTTGAACAAAAAGTAGACATTGAGAATCTAAGTGCTATATACGATAATATACTGTCAATGAAAGAAGCAATAATTATATAAAAGTTTCTTAAAAATTACACAAATTAGGTGGGTTATTCCAAATTCAAATAAAATCAATTGTTGTTTTTTTATTTGTGTTTGATTTTTCCCTTCTTTATTAGTAAGATAAACTCTGTTGCTTATTTAATAAATACTAAGAGAGTGTAAACGGAACAGTTTACATATTATGCCAAAATGTGCGATAAGTGCTGCATAAGTATAGGCGCAAATATGGACAGGTTAATGTAACATACTATTTTGTTTGCTTTTCATACTCCTAGTATGAGTTCCCTTCTTTAGCCTCTGTCAAACTAACATAAATATATACAGAAAAATAGAAGAGACATGGAAATCACAGCGATAACAAAGAATATAGGCTCATATGCGTCTATGATTTCTTTGGTGATAAGTTGTTATAAGTTTAGAATGAAGGAAAACTAAAAGCAAATTAAATAGAATGTCGTCATTCTTTTTTTAATTTGTAGTATGTTTTAATACAAAGTTAAATAAACTGGAAAGCTCGGCAAACCTTAAGAGCTTCACTTAAAGGCCAATAGATGACTATAAGATGCACGCAGATGCAAAAAAGCAAGGGAGAAAATTCAAATGGTCAAATTCAAAGTAGTTCATTTTTTTTATTTTTAGCCCTGTCTGGATGATTTTTTTAGCACACCGTGTAAAAATTTATAAATTTTAATTCAGTATACATACCTAGTGAGGTTTTTTAATAAAATTTTGTATTTGACTTATTATACGAGGTTAATCAAAAAGGTGGTTTTTTATCCTGAATTTTAAACATCCAGTGGAATAATTAAAACCTTGTTTTTATTATTCTCAAAATATTTTTATTAAATAACTCAAAAATAATCATAATTAAAAAAGTCCTACATTGTGGGTGGTAAATTCATTTGGCTCTAAAAAGTGAACGAAGACATACTTTGACATGAAACAAAAAACACAATGTTTAAGAAATATGTCTGCAACCGAAAAATAAGGTTTTACGAAAATTCGCAAACGAAATTATTCCACAGAATGTTTCAAAGTTAAGATAATAAAACCACGTTTTAATTAACCCCGTACAATAAGTCAAATACATTTTATAAAAAAACTGAGTATAGCAAATTAAAATTTATAAATTTATACACAATGTGTTGAAAAAATCATCAAAATAGGGCTAAAAATAAAAAAAATTGAAATACTTTGAAAGTTTTCTCTGTTGCGTTTTTTTACATCTGAGTATATAATCAAAAGTAATATGTTACGGATGACCCAAGTAAACTTACCAATAGAAATCCATCCTAGAAATCCAATCCAAGTGAATAAACTCAATTGCATCATCATATACAGATTGAAAATTATACTCAAACAGGGAATAAAAGGCACAAGAGGAACCTGAAACGTTAAAAAACAATTTATGTTGAAGCAAGGCGCAATGATAATAAATTTAAATTTACCTTGAAAGATATCTTCTCTTTAGATTGAGGCTGTCTGAAAATTATAAGTGCCATTACCAGCATTAACACAGCGGTGAACGAGCAGCTGATGTAGTAAGCTCTGTGTGTGCCGAAGAATTGAGGGTTTTTAAATATCACACAGAATATACAGGTCATCATAGCTGAAAATAGACAAGAATAGGTTTATTTAAATAGTATTTTTTGTGTATTTAATTTTTTTTTGAAGGACGATAATATATTTTATTAGTAGCTGTTTAGTAAACGAATTACTTTACTTTTTACATACAATACAATATTATTTGACTGGCCTATTAATCGTCAGAAATGTTATGAAGACCGTAAGGACGTTTTTATAGCACTTATAGACTATCAATGTCACTGTCAACTCAAGAAATGCAAATAATAAGAGCATTGCTTATGAACATCATTGCTTATGAGCACAAAATAACTTGTTAACTTACTGAAGAACAGCGTGCTGATGTTTGTCACTGCAGATGATGTCTTGTTGGGAATCTTGTTTTTGCTGATGTTGAATAGACTTCCGAAGTACTTTCTTTTTGGGTGTACAGCAAACGTTTGGTCCGATACTGGCTCTATCACAGTCGATGTGGTTTCATACCTACAAATAAACCGTTTTTAAATAAAATAGGACTCTAAATTCGACATGAACCTCATTTTATTAGAGGACAATTTTTTCATGTTTATTTGAATACGATTACTGATATAGTGCTGGCTTTTAAGTAACCTCATTCTCGTATTATCTTTTAAAACAACGTACAGCTTTTCTTTTTTTGAGATAAGTTGAGTGTTGAGGTTGCTATAGGTGTAACTTTGATCTCTCTTTAATTAGTGATAGTCTTTTAGATAACCTTGTAGGTGCTTCTAGCTTTTTTAATTTTATCTGCTCCTTTTAATATAAGTTGAACATTGACAAAGTTATATATTTTACGTTAGCTCTTATTTAAATAGCGATAATATTCATAAGAATATGCGGCGATTAGCGATTGATTAGTTTGATGAGCCACGCTCTTTAGATTCTTCTGATGTATACAAAACATAATCAAAGTATCAGCTGATCATCAATCCTAGTTCAAAATAAGTTTGGATACACGAGAAACGATTTTTTGTCTACAAATTCTAGCTCAAAAGTGTCAAGACTAGAAAAAAGATTTTGTTAATTTGTTTTGTAGGATTGGAAAGAACATGGACAAGATTCGAAAAACTCAGCGAGCCATGGAACGACAAATGCTTGGTATCTCACTTATAGATCGGCAAACGAACGAAGCAATCCGGAACAAAACAAAAATAAAGGACGCCGCTAAACAAGCAGCTAAATTAAAATGGAAATGGGCTGGACACAACGAACGTCTCGAAGATGGTAGATGGAACAAAGAAGTCGGAAACTGGCGACCGTACGATGCGAAGAAACCAAGAGGAAGACCTTTAATGCGCTGGAGCGACGATATCAAAAGAGTCGCAGGACTAATGTGGAAACGCCTAGCACACAACAGGGATGAATGGCGAGTAGGGATGGTTGGAACAGGGATTTTTCAACAACTGTTACAACCTGTTTCAGTTCCAAAAATTATCTGTTTAAAAAAAACTGCTTCAGTTCCAAACTGTTGTGTTATGGGTCGTTTCAGTACCGGTTCGGTTTGTTCCAGAAAGGTTGTTGCATTAACAATAGACCATTGTATTTGTGGTTGTTTATTTTGAAATATTGAAGTTTTGTCGCGAGTCGACAATTCACAGTTTACAATCATGGTTTATGTGCATGCAAATACTTTCCCCTCCACTTTCGTGGAACTGCAACAACCATATAAAAGCACAGCAATGCAACAGGGGTCTCTGAAAAAACTGTTATATTGGAACAGGAAAACTTATTGATCAATATCTGTTCCAACCTGTTCCAAATAAAAACCTGTTTCGAAAAGAACAGATCCTGTTCCAAAGTAGCATTTCTAATGGCGAGAAATGGGAGAGGCCTTTATTCGACAATTCGGATAGAAAAAGGGCTATAAGGATTGGAAAAAGCATATGACCATGTTAGTGTCCTTATCCTTATTCCTTGAGCTCTTATATGTAATGACACTCTAAATATTGTCAGCTTACTTCCTCCATTTGCTTCGATGAGATCTTCTGCTTGGTCATCAGCTGTCTATCTTTTCTGCTTATACAAGTAGTTTTACAATACCCGTTCTTCTAACCATATGACCGAAGTAATGTAGGTATTCACAGTTTACTTTTTTAACTTCTCCAAAAGTGTTATTAAAAAAGAGCAGTTTTAAACGTTTTAGATCATTTTTGTAACGTGAAAGTTTAAATTCAACGTTTTTTAAGCATATTTCTAATTCCTCACATCTGTTGCCAGAACTCAAAACTAAAATTTCATACCATAGGTTTTGAAGATTAGAATTATAAAAAATGACAATAATCGCGCCACGTTTATTTATTTAACACCTTTATAAAAAACTGAGTTCATTTGCGACAAAATATAAAAATTGAATACGAAAGCTGCGCTGATTGATTTTTGTCAATAGGACACTGGGATCAAAACGTCACCTGAATGTTACAACTAGGTAACTTGAATTTTAATGTTTCGACTGTTTCGAGATAAGGGCCAAAAACAATTTATTCATTTTTCTTCAGCGAAATATCTTGAACCATGACAATTACATTAGTTTTGAAAGAAAATCATTTCGTGTCTATACCTTATTCCATTACGCGGTGCAGGGCATATAAACAACGATACATTTAACAGATAATTGTTAAAGATGTTCCAAATGAGTCTACTCGTTCCGATAAGTAACAGTATAATTATGACACTTTATTATTTTTTTTCTTTTCTCAAATATTCGTGTTTATTGCATAGTAAATAAATTCATTTTACCACTGAATACAAAGTAAGTGAAAAAATACTCCGATTTATAAAATTAATAAATATTTTATGCATAAATGCAAGTAACAGTTCTTCAAAAATATTTAAAAACTAACCGGAATGTCCATCTTTATTTCGTCTGGCGATGTTATCGGCGGTTCATACCGGTTCGGACACGATTTAATGTTTATATTTTCCTGCACCGCTTAATGAATTTTACTATAGTCAATTCACTGATTTAAAGAAATATACACAAACATTTTGGTATTTATTTTTTAATACAGAAAAAAAACAGAGTTATCCACTTATTACATTAACAAACTTACCTTAAACTAAAATAATGTAAGAGTATAAAATAGGTAACTATATTTAATTGGTAATGAAAATTAGAAAATAATAGGAAAAATAAGCATTCTTCTTCTTCTACAAAAATAAGGATATTCTACAAATATCCTTATTAAGGCCTTAAATATTAAATTATTTAATTAAATATTTTAATCTTCATCCTCGTCTGGTTCTTTTCTTCCGTGAGGTAAATTTGAATAAAAATTGAATATTGAATTGAATAAAAATTGAAGTATTCACTACTTAGGGCAGCAGGTTTCATAGAAAACAAAGCCATTAGGTCTTTATATTTAGCATCGGTAATTACATGGCCTTGTGGATAACAACGTAGTAAAACAACATTTCTCGGAACCATACGCAAGGCTTTTCTTCTGCAATCCACTTCTCTAAACACATCTTGTTTGAAGGATTCCTTATATTCATATTTATAAGAGTTGTCTTTCTTAAATTGAAACCAGCAGATTTTTTGAAAAAGAACCTGTCTATTGTCTGTGTCTGTTTTTCTCATAGTAAGCTGTGTATGGGCAAATGACTTCCAATCTATAAAGCTTTCTGATTCAATATCGTGGACAATGTAAGGCTTGTCTCCTTTCTTCCTTGCACTTCGTGCTATTGTTCTCCAGTCCCCTGGCCACAGTGTTTTACCAACGCGTTTAAACTCTGTTAAAATAGCAGAGTGCATTGAATCGCACTCCATTTCACTATGACCAGGTGTCAGAAATTTAAGGTGAATACTTTGAATATTGTTTATCACTTGAACAGCGTGCATACACATCGCTACGATGTATTTGTTAAGATTTTGACCACCGCAACGATCCCTAAAACATCTTACTTCTTCAATGGTATCTGGAAGTGACTGAAAGTACGAAAAAAGAAGGCTGGCAATCTCACAACTACCTCTTCCACCTTGACCCTCATGCCACATGAAACAAGCACCCTGTTTTGTTGCTACGTTAAAAATGGTAAAATTGTAGGTGGCAAGTTTTCTCTTGTAGAATAAAGCATTATTTCTTGGATCGCTGGGAGAAAGCAAAACCTGCTGTAAGTCAAAATTGCAACTTACGATTTTATTACCACTTGCAGCTGCAATTTCTTTGTCAATTAGTTTGGCGTTTTGAGCATCGGTCTTATTATCCATATGCTTTTTGTATTCGCTCATCATCTCTTCGTGTGCATCCACTGTACTATTAAAAGCTACACATATGCGACATTGATCTTTCCGCGGTCTGTGAAAACCCAGTTTAAAATTGTCTTTGAAGATGTTTCGATAAGCAGATAGTTTTGCTTTTGGCTTTTGTGTTTCCTCACACCATTTAGTGTACATACGATACATGGTCACAAGGTTTAATGAAGGATCCAAATATTTTCTTTCAGTGTTAGCCCTACAATAATGTGATGGTACACATGGAAAACTTTGAAGATGTGCTTTGATTCCATCAGTTAAAACAGGATCTAAAGTAACGCTTCTTCCCTTTCCTCGACCATCATTGGCAGCTATATTTTGCTTCGATCTCTTCTTCATAGCTATGTCCACCACACCTTTATTAATTCCCAAAGTGTTTAAAAACATCGATTTACATACCTTCTTTTTTTCTCCAATAATAGGTAGGAAGTAGTTAATTGAGTATTGCCTTCTAGACTCTTCTTGCGTCGTCTTTGATTTTTTAACTGTTTTTTCCGTGTTTGCATTTATAAAATCTCGCTGACGTACGTAGTCCGCTAGTTTATAATAAGATTGAAAAATAGTAAGTCTTTCATCTTCGGGTATCATAAAACATTTAAGCCTACATGATTCACTGCAGGAAGGTTTCATTTGCACAGCTGGTTTAACTACTCCTTTAACTGAAACATATTCCTGAACTTCACGCCTTCTTTGCTTCCGGATATTTCTTGGCCAACTGGTTGGTTGTCTTTTCTTTCGTCGAGGTTTATCGGTTTGTGTTGGTCGTTCTTCCATCCCTGCCAATTTTACATTAACACCTGGTGTATCGAAGTCTGTACTGCTGCTGGGTAAATACTCTGATTCATCTCCAGAAAAATCGCGTCTATCAGAATTATTTGGAAATAAGTCTTTATGCTCTTGTCTCTTTGGGTTAGTGTTTGAAGCTGAAAATATAGCCAAATGAAAAAATTTTACAACCACATCTATGTAGGAACAATTTATTTATTTTTGAGGTTATAATAAACCACGTTTTAATAATAAATTATCTTTAAGATTGTTAAACACGATTTGTTTTTATTTGAAACTTGAAGTTTTGTCGTTTATTAAAAGCGTTGTGGGAAGAACAAATTCAGATTTTTCTCACAAATAAATACATAACCTATCATTCCCATTTAACCCATTTTACGTAAAAATTAACTCAAACTACACTTACCTTCGACTTTAGGTTCAACTTCACGTACTAACTGCACCATCTTTTCTCCTCTATACATCATATTTACTTATAAAACACAATTAGTATGTCTTAACGTCTTAAACATGTGGTAAGTAAATATTTTGAATACACAAATTTGAAATGTTAAAACTAGGTAAGTCGAGATACCCACTTCCGTTGATTGAATAACCCAATTTGGGTTATTCAATCAACGCCACTTCTTCCAAAACATTCGGGTGATATGGTGGTTGCACAAACGTGCTATCTTTAGTTACCTAGGTACAACATTTAAAGAAAGCTGCTTGATATTTTTACCTACTTTTTACATTGTCCAGTAGATGGCTCATACCTATTATATTAAGGTACCCACTTTTTGTACTGAACGCTAGATGGTATTTGAAATAATATTGTATACATATCTCAAAATATGAAAATTTTGAGATACCTAGTTCTTATATTCAGGTGACGAAAAGATATTGAATTATTACCGTCAAGCTGATACAAATTATTTTGTGCGCTTTGATATCGCGCACGTAACTGACATTCAAAATCATTGTTTATGAGAGAACTATTCATTCTACACAAAAAATGCTAATAAAATTTTTTGTTCAAAATTATCTCAGTTACATTTTTTATTTGAAACATTTTTTTCATGTTGTACAGATTCTTTTTTTAAATCGATGGTAAATCGATTTTTTTTGTTTTCTCCCTTTACGTGGGGGTTTAAGGTGAAAGCCCTTTGATAAAAGTGGTAATAAGTGGACTTATTTAGCGTCCCAAAATTGACATTTTCGGCAAAATTCAGCTAGTTCGTATGATTTTAAGAGCTTCAGTGATATTTTCGTATCCGACGACTGGAGTATGGACAAAAAGACATAAGAATAATCGAAAACCTGTATTGGTAACAAAAAGTAGATATCAAAATAGAATTAATTACTATTTAACTGGGAATAAGCCACAATTAAAGATAAAAATACGTTTATTGACGTTTCAATTTCCACTTCGGAAATCGTTCTCAAAATACAAACAGTAAATTAAACAAATTTTGTTTTTTGTTACATAGTGAAAAATTCTTCTAATAATTTAATTTTATCTCAATCATTTATATTGACAATTCAGACATACATTATGCATTTTAAAGTAGACGACTTTAAAATGATATTGCCAATATTGTTGAGTTGCGCTCCTGGGACGACTTTACTTATAAGATAGTTCATTCGATTACATGAAATCAACTTTAACTTGAGAATATCCGTCAGAAAAAAATCATAGCATATAATTTTTCTTTAAAAAGACAAACACATGACATCGTGACAGTAAAATTCTCCTGTCAGTGATTCCATAGTAAATTATGAGGGAAAAACCAGGAAAAAACCTCATAATACTATCCCGACATTGTAAGTATTTGTTCGTGAATTTACCTTCAACAAACACCAAAATTCTGATTTTTTATATGTTTCGTTATTTCATCATCATCATCATCACTGGCTCGACAACCCTTTTTGGGTCTTGGCCTGTTCAAGGATTCTTCTCCATTCTGACCTGTTTCGTGCTTTTTTTTCCAGTTTTTAATTTTTAAATTATATCATTTTCTATTTGTTCTACGTATCTCAGCTTCGGTCTTCCTCTTGTTCTTTTTCCTACTGGCACTTGTTTGAATATTTTGTTTGGTATTTCGCCTTCTTCCATTCTTTCCACATGTCCAATCCAACGTAGCCTTCCATTGGTGTTAACTCTGATCCATGAGGCCATGTTGAGAATACAATGTATTGATTGTAGAGTTGTTGGACACATTCCTAAATGATATAAACGATAAAGAAGAGACAATAACATTTACCATGGAAAAGGAATATAATAACACGCTACCTTTCCTGGATGTTTTAATCTCTAAGAACGATACTGGATATGAGACTCAGGTGTATAGAAAACCAATACACACCAATAGATATTTAATTTTCAAATCAAATCACAATGTTAATGTAAAAAATGGAACAATTAAAACCTTATACGATAGAGCCAAAATTACTTGTTCTAATGAAAATTCGTTCTTGGGGGAGAAACATTTGTTAAGATATGTTTTATTAAAAAATGATTATCCTTTATCTTTTATAAATAAGGAATTTTCAACAATCGATCGAATAGAACAGAACAACTTAGAACGAGATCCTATAGCATACAAAAGGAATAATATGAGGAAAATAACAATACCGTACATAAAAGGATTATCAGAAAAACTTAAAAGGATAGGAAATAAATTCACCATTTCAACAACATTCAAAACAACAAACACGTTGAGATCTATTTTGTGCAAAACCAAACCTAACAATGAACAAGAAAGGACAAATATGATGAAAAGATGTTAGAATAAGTGAACATCAGTCTTATATTAAAAATAGAGAATTTGATAGATCTCAAATATGTAAACACGCATGGGATAATGAACATAAGGTTCAATGGAATAATTCAAATGTAGTCCTAAAAGAAACGGATGAAAAAAAAAAAGAAAAATCAAAGAAGCGGCTCTAATTATGCTAAATGAGGCCAATTGTGTCGCAAATTCCTCGGCAGAATGTAGTAGGATCTGGTTACCAATATTGAAAGAGGAAGATATTAATAAGAAAATACCAGTATTAGTAAGTCAGTAACATATAGAGGATACATCATTTATGTTTTTTAAATAACGAAACATATAAAATATCAGAATTTTGGTGTTTATTGAAGGTAAACTAAATTCACGAACAAACACTTACAATGTCGGGATAGTATTATGAGGTTTTTTTCCTGGTTTTTCCCTCATAATTTACTATGGAATCACTAACAGGAGAATTTTACTGTCATCATGTCATGTGTTTGTCTTTTTAAAGACGAATTATATGCTATGATTTTTTTCTGACGGATATTCTCAAGTTAAAGTTGATTTCATGTAATCGAATGAACTATCTTATAAGTAAAGTCGTCCCAGGAGCGCAACTCAACAATATTGGCAATACCATTTTAAAGTCGTCTACTTTAAAATGCATAATGTATGTCTGAATTGTCAATATAAATGAGTTAGATAAAATTAAATTATTAGAAGAATTTTTCACTATGTAACAAAAAACAAAATTTGTTTAATTTACTGTTTGTATTTTGAGAACAATTTCCAAAGTGGAAATTGAAATGTCAATAAATGTATTTTTATCTTTAATTGTGGCTTATTCCCAGTTAAATAGTAATTAATTTACAATGCCACAAGAAAATAGCTTCAGAACAATATCAAAATAGAAGGCATGCTATCTGAAAAAACTTAAATCAAAACAGGAGCCAGGCAGGGTTTCATTTTGTTCCCTTTATTTATTGCTAATTTAACGTATCTTCTGAAAATACTAAAAAATAAATAAATATAAATGTAAATGAAGACCAACAAAAAACAAAAGGTCCAAAATTCAAAAAGTTTTTATAACCAAGTCAATAAGATAAAACTAAATATTATACGAATGGCGAACTTAAAAACAGAACAGGATATGAAAAAAATTACATATCAATATATTGCAAGACATCACACGGCTATGACAACAATACCTAATGGTAATTACGATAACAAATTTGTTGAAGTTTTTGAATGTTTTAACTTACCTTAATACTATAACTGATGCAGCGACTATCACATAAGAGAAGAAAGCACCGATAGTCATTAAGTCCATCAAAGCATTTAAGTCCAAAAATGTCGCCATCAACCCTAGAAATAAAAAAAATGTGAAAGATATCTATATAATTATAAATGAATCGCCGAAATGTGTCCACTTTTGACACGAACAACAGCATAGCCATCGCTCACTTTTTTTGACAACTTGTACAGTTCTGTACAGTAAATGTAAATATCATCATCATTTTCTATGTGGAGTTGAGTTAAGAATAGAAGTGCCTTGACGTTTCCTTACTTTTTTCCCCTGGCCGCAAACAAATGGTCCGACTAGAACTGGACTTAAATCTACCGAAATAACCAGTAGTAAAATGCCACTTGTTGGATTTTGCAAGTTTGACTGAGCTGACATCATATTAGGGACTTGTATGATAGAAGAGAAAGGTCCAGGTTATTCATAAACGATTACAGCAGGTTTGACACTATCTAATACAATATTTGTAGTTTCAGATGCTTGAAACAGTAGTCGGGGAATACATCGGGATTTATTGTTTAGATACCAGTTTTGGAAAATCCATGAGCAGCATTCTGGACATTAGCTACTTTTCCATAAGCTTCATTTAATAGACCACCAACTTGGAACTGAGTCACAACTCGACCAGGGTGAGCTTGGAGCCATTTGGTTATTTCTTGGTCATTATAGGTTTTGAGTGGACCAAAGAATGCTACATCGAGAGGTTGCATCGAATGTGTAGAGTGAGCCGGCAAACATAAAAGTACAATGCCATTTTCTTTGGCGTACAGAAGAGCGTCAAGATATTTATGACTTGAATGTCCATCCACAATTAACAAAACCTTCTTGGTGGAAGATGTCTATTATTGGTAGCATATTTTTGGAAATGCTACAACCATTGTAAAAACACTGGACCCGTCATCCAACCAGTCTGCTGGGGAATACATAAAGTTCCTGCTGGTGTACGGTCAGCTAATTCCTTTTTCATATTTTTTTTTGTGAAAATATTAGAGTAAGTAAAATATAGCTCCCGTTAGTGCACATACAACAAATAACTGTCTCGTGGGAACCTCGTTCGACGCTGGTAATTGCACCTACTTGTTTGAGACCGGATGTGGTAAACACTTTCCTTTCAAATTTTCAATAAATCATGAATGTGTTGCTTGTGTGAGTCCATTTCAAATAGGTAAAGAAATAATAAATAAGACTTACTCATAATCAATTTAATTTTCCTATTCAGACGAATGGTTTCGCTTTCTACAATATGCAAAGTATCTTCAGGTCTCGATACAAAGTTAAATAAATGCTGAAATTCAAGTTCTGATTAAATATCTAAAAATATTTATACACACCATGACAGATAACTCACACCAAGAATATTTTCAAATAAAATTTTTGTAAATTTGTTATACGTTTGATTACAAAATGTACATGTTTAGTTGCCAAAGAATCACTGTAATTTGTTCTGTAATTTGGACCAAACTGAGTTAGTTATAATGTGGGATGTATTTCAATTATTCGTATTGTTACATTTAAATTTAATTAATTAAAGATTGTTAAAGTATGCCAATATTAAACACATCAATTTACTTTTGATATCTTAATTAAAACAATTTAGAGACATTCATTAATATCAGCATATTTCATAAAACTAGATAACTTAACTTGCATTATTGAGAAACAGAAGAAGAACTGTCACATGCTAACCTACATCTGTCAAATTTACCACTAAAATCGAATAGATAACATAAAAACTCATTGTGCCCAAGACTGAGATGTAGTGCATAAAAGTCCTTCCCCCTTTTTAAATTTAATGTTTGTTTCGTCCCTTCTAAGTGTTTTCTGTTTTAGTGTGTTTAAATTGTTTTTAATTGTTTTAACTTTAATATTTTATATACTCGACTTTGCCAATACCATTTTGCCAATAGAACTTTATCAAAGAAATTTGATAATTACAAGTTGAAAGAATTGCACACCCACACAATTTGTACATCTAAGCTTATTCATTGTCATAAAACTGTCACCTTCATAAAACAAATACTCAATAAATAACACACATTTCATAAATATATCTCGCGAATAAGTATAAATAACTTTTAAATAATACAATGGTATAGAACATCACTTTCATTTAACAAACAATCACACACCTATCTCTACTTCATTGGATCAAATCTATCTTCTCAAGAACTTCCCGTTTACTGTCAAACAACTACAATAGCAGACTTAAGTTCTCCATTCAACAATACATGATAATTTCAACCATGTTCTACCATCCATCAATTAATAGAGTACCGGCATGTAAGTAATGTTTATTTATTTGCTCATTTATTCATATATTACAATCTAATAGACTATTTTATAACAATTTGTGGGTCTTACCTTGCCTGTTTAAACTTTTTATACCTTTTTATTCATTTTTATTCATCTTGAAAAAACCACAGACATGTAATATTGGCATAATTATTGTAATTTATAACATCTAATTTGTTTATCTTTATTAGACAACACCCTAATATGGGTTTTTATCATTTCAGCATTTATTTAACTTTGTATCGAGACCTGAAGATGCTTTGCATATTGTAGAAAGCGAAACCGGTCGTCTGATAGTTAAATTAAATTGATTGTGAGTAAGTCTTATTTATTATTTCACCTATCTTCAATAAATTTTTACTTCCACCGCAATGAAGTGATATTGCAGCTTTTTGATAATATTGATATTCATGATAAGACTGGACGAAGGTTCAAAAGAACGAAATTATTAGAATAAATACTATTTTAGAGAAACCTTAGGAAGGACCAATAAAACATTCTTAGATAAGCAGTTGAATCTTAACATTTGCAGATTAAAATTGTTCAGTAATTCACTTAGTTATTTTTAGTAAAAATATCCTGGAAAGTTAATCTCATATAACATACCTGAAATCACTCCAGATAAAATAGTCGAGATTAACGGAGTCTTCGTGACTGGATGAACGTTGGCTAAAAATTTGAAGATCAGTCCATCATCTGCCATGGCGTAAACCACTCTTGGAGTAAAGTACATTGATCCGAAAGCGCTTGAAGATAGAGCAAAAATGGCTCCAATTGTTACTATCCATTTTACCTCTATCCATCCGAACTGTTCAAAAACGTATGGGAATGGCGCATTCTCATTCTAAAAAGTCAAAAAAGTTAGATTTATAGGCTGGTTGAATAAAATGTGATCAAATCACGCTCTACTACAAATTATAAATATGGTCAAAATTTCATGTCGATTTTTTTTCCGAAGATCAATTAAGAAATCTGTAGGGGCAAAAAGTAGTAGGAACTTTTTCTCTAGCTTAGAGGTTACTAATAGATCTTCTATTGTGTATTTATGAATATTTTTAAGGTTTAAAAATTTATTTTTGATTTTAAATTGTAATTTATCATGTATCTGCCGTAAATATTTGGTTTCATTTCGAAAAAATATCAAAGACCGACGTACCGCATTTAAATAAAAATATTTACCTAACCTGCAGATAATAAGGCCATGCCAGCGTTAAGACCGTCGAAATGCTAAAGTAGACGACGAAAACGAGTAGCAACGAGATCAGAATGGCGAGAGGAATGTTTCTTTTAGGGTTTTTGGCTTCGTCGCTGCAAGCGGCAGGAGCATCGAATCCAGTGAAGCCAAAAAAGCAATTGGGTGTTCCTGCTATTACTCCTGCAATCCCGTACGGGAAGAATCCTCCTCCTCCTGCTTGTTCTTTGTACTCAGGTTTGATACTTTCTTTGGAAATTGCCCAGTTTTTGATATCCGCTAAAAAAAAATTAGGGTTGTATTATTATCAGAGTTTGTACACAGTAAAAAGTTTTAAGCAGATTTATGTTCTACTAGTACATAAATTACCTGTATATATACAGCAATTTTACTAAATTATAAGCAAAAATGTTGTTAGGATTTTACTAGTAAGGATGGTAAAAAAAATAATATTAGTCCAGTCTTCAGAGAAAACTGACACGCACAAGCTGAATTTTTCTGAGAATATTAATTTTGGGACCCAAACAAATATGCAAAGAAGTTTGTCACTCCTACACCCGACTTTCCCTACATCTTTAAACCATTCATCCACCATGTGAGGGGGAGGGGTGGGGGGTTAGGAAACATCCATTTACCGAGAATCTGTACGACGTAAAAAATAACAAATTTAGCTGAGGTAGTCTTGAACAAAAATGTTAATTAGCACTTTTTGTGTGGAATGAATCGTTCGCTCAGAAATAACACTTAAAATGACCGGCGATTTTAAATGTCGCTATGATTTTTAGAAGTTCAGTAACATTTTTGTCTCCTGACCACTGGAGTATATTAACGTTATAATTTTTGTTTTTTGGGCCTGTCACTTTCGTCACTTTTGTGTGCTTTATTTCAAAAGTTTGTATCACAAATTTCAGCTGTTTAGCATCCCAAATTTAGCCATACGGCTCACACTCCCTCTAAGGGGAAAATTCACTCATCCCAGATACCTCCGGTATCAAAAGGATTGAGCTTTGATGGGACTCTTTCCGTGTTATCGAAACCTAGGTGAATTGGTCTTCTTCTTCTTTGAGTGCCTTTCCTATCGGAGATTGGATATGATTATGGCGATTCTAATTTTATTAACTGCTGTTTTGAATAATTCGTTAGTGGTACAGCCAAACCAATCTCTTCAATTTCTCATCCAGGACATTCTTCTACGGCTGGATTTCTGCGTCCTTGGATCTTTCCTTGCATTATATTTTGTAGGAATGTGTACTTTTGTCCTCTCATCAGGTGGCCTAAGTATTCAAGTTTTCTACTTTTAATGTTCATAATAACTTCTGGATCGTTATTTATTCTGCATATTACATCTTCGTTTGTAATTTTATCCACCCAACTTATTTTTAGTATACGGCGGTAGCACCAGGTGACTTGGTATGTTGGAGTATATCCCAAAAATTTTTTCGTATACGTCTGGGTGTCGCAAGGTGTACAGCTTTCTGCATGGCCTTATAGTAATGTTCATTTAATCCCAGCTATTGTAAGTTCTCTAGGAGGTTTTTGGGAATAACACCAATAGTAGATAGAATAATAGATAGTTTCTGGGTACTTTCCATTCTCGATTGTATCCTGATTTGTATTTCTAGATCCTTGTACTTGGCAATCTTTTTATTGTATTTAACACGTAAATTATTGATGTTGGGTATCACCACATCAATAAGTCTTGTTTGCCTATTAAGTTTATTAATAATTATGCGCCACTGGTTGGTCTGTATGCACAGTGCGGTCCCAGTACAGCCTGTAGTTGTCATTTTCAAGCATTCTGTCAGGGACGTATTGATAATAAGGAAGATGGTCGGTTTGGAGAAGTCCCAGTTTGTCAGCTAGTTCTTGGTGGATAATCTTTCCTACTGAGTCATGGCGTTCTTTATAATCAGTACCGACAAATGCATGGCAGCCACCGGTAAGATGTTGGATGGTTTCTTGAGCTTGGCATCCATATCGGCATGTGTCATTTTGGACTTAAGGATCTTTAACAATATATTTCAGGTAAGGTAATTTTTAGTTGGAATAACCTGATGCTGAATGGTAAGTAGGAAACTCTCAGTGTCGGGAAATATCTTTTTTGTTCTCTTTTCATTATTATTATTATTACATAACAAATAAGGGCAGAGGAGCGAGTTCCTATTATGCCCAAAAGCAAAAAAAAATCCTTATAAAACTAATACCAATTATAAAGTTAAGTAAAGTTAAAAATTGAATTGCGAATCAATAAATAATTGTGTCTTGATCCAAATTATTCTAGATACTTATGATTCTATTTGACAAGAAGTTCACCCTGGACCTTGCATCAGTTTGTTCCCTCTTTAATTTGTAACGATGGCCTCTAAATCTTTCGTTTTGATTTAAAGTGAATATGGTGATTAAGTTAAGTTCTCAAAGTTATGTTTTAAAATACGAAAGGACATAATTAGGTCACCTCGAAGACGTCGCTCCTCGAATGTCGTAAGATGAGCCATGGATAGTCTATCCTCATAGTTAGGTCTTACACAGCCGTATGTCAGTATTGTGGCTTTACACTGAACATTTTCAAGTAGGATTTTATCGCGACTGAGATCTGGATTTCACATTGGCCCGGCAAACTCAAGAATAGGTCTAACGTATATTGAGTAAAGTTTACCAACAGAGGTTAGAGATATACGTGTAAAACATTTACGGATCAAAAACAGTTTCGAGTTTGCATGTTTACACACAGACACTATGTGATCAAACCAATTTAAGTCACTATTAATTATCATTAATCATCATTAATTATCCGTGCCGGTGTTAGTTTCTAAGAAGGAGAGGTTCTGAACTGAGTAGGGGCTTCTCAGTACTTCTTGGAAAACACACTCGAAGGGGGGCAGCTCTCAACCCCGACACGGCGCGTCCCAATGGCTGATAGGGAACGTCCTACAGATATGTAGGACAGGTGCGAATAAGGCTTTGCCAAATAAACACCCGCGGATCAACTGAGAGCATGGCATAGGGCAGCAGCTATGTCATTACAGGATCAGAGCGGTAGAGATAAGATCTCTGTATCGGTCTGATACCGGATAGTCACGGGCGGTAATCAAATTATGATTTAACCGGTTGTGATACTGCGGTGCAGAAAGCAACGGGAAACTACTGCACTATATTTTTCCCTAGTAAAGTAACCTATGCAAAACAAAAATTTAACGGCCCCTAGTCCGCGGCAGACCTTAAGTGGTCAGGGGGTGCAAAGAATCCCCGCGAGGAGGAACCACCCGAAAGTGGAATACATTAATAACCAATCCTTGATAAGAATAGGCACTTGGAACGTACAAAGTATGTTTGAACCCGGTAAAGTTCAAAATACCATTCGTGAAATGAAAAGACTTGGAGTGGACATACTAGGTATAAGTGAGATGAGATGGTTTGGTTCTGGAAATGTATCCATCGATGACTACACAATATACTACTCGGGGAACGAACAGCAGAGACACTGGAATGGTGTAGGCCTTATAGTAACAGAGCAGATAAAAAAAGCAGTAATTGATTTCATACCCTATTCTGATCGAATGCTTCTTTTGAAATTACAGAGTAAGCCCGTAAACATAAACATACTCCAAGTTTATGCACCAACTGCTGACAAGTCGGATGATGAAATAGAGCAGTTCTATGAGAATCTCCAAGAATTACTTAAAATGACAAAGAGTTATGAAACAACATTAATCGTAGGAGATTTTAATGCCAAAGTGGGTTGTGGAAAAGTGGAACATATTTGTGGAAATTACGGACTGGGCAATCGCAATGATAGAGGTGACAGACTACTACAATTTTGCCAGGAGAAACAACTAACTATCATGAACACCTGGTTCAAGCTACCACTACGGAGGCTTTATACGTGGAAATCACCCGCAGATAATAAAAACAATTGTGTCCGAAATCAAATCGATTACATTATTATAAACCAGCGATATAAAAATGCAGTAACGGATACAAGAACATACCCAGGCGCAGATGTTCCATCGGATCACAACCTACTAGTGGCTAAATTAAAAATAAAGTTCAAAATGCTAAAAAAGACTGTCAAAAGAAAAACCGACATCAATTTACTTAAACAAGAAAATATACAAAGTATGGTAAAGACTAAACTCAACGAGGAATGTGAAAGACTCCAAAGAGAGTTATCACCAACTACAGAAGGCTTATGGACTGAAGTCAAGAATGCTTTTACTAGCGCCGAGAAATATATAAAAGACACTAATAACAAAAGAAAATCTAAACCCTGGATGACACAAAAAATTCTGGGAATGATGGATACTCGAAGAGCCTACAAAAATAAAGATAATGAAAAATATAGGGAGATACATCGTCAAATCAAAAAAGAAATAGCTACAGCAAAAGAAAATTGGATGATAGAAAACTGCCAAGAGATCGAAGAATTAATAAAGAAACACGACAGTCAAACGCTTCACAAAAAAATAAAAGATCTAGCTGGAATGACAAAACAAAGACTCCCTTGTAGATTAACAAACGACGAGAATGAAACGATATGGGAATTAAGCGATCTAAACAACGTATGGGGACATTACATAGAAGAACTATTCTCGGACACACCACTAAACAACATAATATATAAAAACCATGAAACCAGTCCTCCTATATTAAAACAAGAAGTAGAGAGAGCAATCAAAAACGCAAAAAATGGGAAAGCCCCTGGCCCCGATGACATACATACGGAAGTCATAAAGCTACTGGAAGAGAAACATTTAAATATAATCGTCAAATTATTTAATCAAATATATACAAGCGGTGAAATTCCACAAGACTGGTTAAAATCAGTCTTTATTCCCCTTCCAAAAACTAAGGGAGCAAAGAAGTGTGGTGATTTCAGACTTATTAGTTTAATGTCGCATATGTTAAAGTTATTCTTGAAAGTTATTCACCAACGCATTTATAAGAAATGTGAACAGGATATCAGTGATGAACAATTTGGCTTCCGAAATGGATTTGGGACACGGGAAGCATTAACCAGTTTTATTATACTGCTGCAAAAATGTCGAGACCAAAAAAAGGATCTCTTTTTATGTTTTATTGACTATCAAAAGGCCTTCGACAAAGTAAAACATGATAAGCTGATGGATTGCCTTCACAAAAAGGGACTAGACGAGAACGATTTTAAAATTATCCAAACGCTGTATTTTAACCAAACTGCAGCAGTTAGAACAGAAGCCGGTGACACAGAAATATTCAATATCAAGCGAGGTGTACGACAGGGGTGTGTATTGTCACCACTACTTTTTAATATATATTCGGAAGAAATCTTTGCACGAGCACTAGAGCAATCAAGAGAAGGTGTTAAAATTAACGGCAGAGTTCTAAATAATGTACGATACGCCGACGACACGGTCCTAATTGCAGAGAGCGCACAGGATCTCCAGACACTCTTAGATCGCGTCAGATCGACTGGAGAACAATACGGCCTCAGCATTAACGTCAAGAAAACAAAAACAATGATTGTCTCCAAAACATCCATCCATCCACCCATGGTTTTAAACGTGAATGGTAACATTATCGAAAATGTCGAGAAATTTCGATATCTAGGGTGCTGGATAACGAAAGATATAGATCCAGACATAGAAATAAAATCGCGAATTGAACAAGCAAGAAATGTCTTTTTAAAAATGAAACAAATGTTTACGTCCCAAACACTCAATCTCAAAATCCGATACCGAATGCTGAAATGTTACGTTTACAGCACCTTATTATATGGAATGGAGGCCTGGACCTTCAAAATCAACTCACTAAGGCGTTTGGAAAGTTTTGAAATGTGGTTATTTCGAAGGATGCTGAAAGTCCCCTGGACAGCGCATATGAGCAACGAGCAGGTCCTACACAAGATGGGTACCGACAGAGAACTCTTAAAAATAATGAAAACACGGAAAACCTCATATTTGGGACACATATACAGAAATAAGAAATACCAGCTACTGCAGCTTCTTATAGAGGGGAAGGTAGAAGGAAAACGTGGTCCTGGTAGACGGCAGGCGTCCTGGTTGAAGAACATTCGTGAGTGGACTGGTTTGGATTGTCAATCTTTAATAAGAAAAGCCAGGGACAGAAATGATTTTGCTAAGGTTATCGCCAACCTTCATTGAAGACGGCACCCAAAGAAGAAGAAGATTAATTATCACTCCAAGATTGTTGTGGGAGGTTTCCGAATTTAAGGGATGTAGACACTAAAAAGTAGCAGTCCAAGTACAGATTCTTGTGGGACTCCACTCTTGACTGGCTTATCTAGTAAGTGGCCTTCCCCAACACGAACCCTGAAGTATCTGTCGGATAGAAAATCTTGAATCCACATATATTCCAATACCATAGTGATCCAATTTTGCTAGTAATCGACGTTTTGGAGCACGGTCAAGAGCTTTGGAGAAGTCTAAGTAGACTACATCGACAGGATTCCAATTGTTTAAAGCTAATGACGAATAACTTACACAATGAAGTAAGTTTGTGATCGTTTAACGACTTTTGATAAAGCCATACTGTTGGTGAGGGACGACATTTTCTTGAAGAAGAAACTCAGACGTCGCTTCCGAAATAATCGATTCCATGACCCTGCCGACAATAGGACGATAGGCTGACTGGACGATAATTATTGCAATCAAATTTATTTCCTCTTTTGAATATAAAAGTAACCGACGTCAATTTCCAGAATGAGGGGAGAGAACCTTGATTAAAAGAAACATTCATTATAAGAGATATAGGGATCGCTACAAATTCTGCACATTGTTTGAGGAAAAATGGGGTGAGTCCGTCTAATCCAGGTGATGAATTATTGTGTGGTTTCCATAAATGATGTTTAATTGTATCCGGTATGAAAGATATATTGTCACGAGTTTTAGACAAACGTGGGCACATTATTTGAGGAATGATATTGTTAGGCTCATCTGTAAAAATCTGAGTAAAGAATAACGATAAACTTTCCGAAGATTCGTTATTCGAAGAACATCATGTAGAGAACAAATAACAAGACTTGAGTAAGAAGGAAATAATTCACTGAATTGGTTAAATTTATCTAACCTAATGGATAATCGATCAGCTTCTCTCTAAAATTTAAGATTTATATCTTGTTTGACTTTATTACTCTAATGTTTCTTTTACTGAATACTATTCCATTCTGACTATAGATCCGCAATTTATAAGTAATATCAAGAATTTTTAGGCCTGTGTTGTGAAGAACATTGTTTTTCTGGTCAGATCCATAAGATGACGATGGAAAAGAGTAAGTGAAAGAACACGATCAAGAACTTAGTATTGATGAGTTAAGGGACGTTAAAGAGGGATCAGAATCAGTCTAGAATAAATCTACTTCCGTTTCTAATTAACAAAGTTCTTGTAAAATTAATAAACGTAACAAATATTTTAGAAAATCTAACTGGTTACACTGTATAATGTTTTTCCACGGTTTTCTCTTGTAAACGGGGTAAAACCATCTAGAGCTGACTCATTATAACCTGGTCAATATATATATATATATATATATATATATATATATATATATATATATATATATATATACGGATATATTGGGTTTAGTAGTCAATATATTGGCCTTTAAGTAAAACTCTTTTAGGTTTGCTAAGCTTTCGAGTTTATTTTACTCTTTTTCAAAACATACTAAAAATTAACATAAAAAATTTACATTAGAAAAATGAAGTTCTTATGTCTTAAATAGGCTTACCCTTGTGAGAATTGTCTTTTAAAATTAGCAAAATTTTACATTTTGTCATTATGTTAATGACATAATGACAAAATGTAAAATTTTGCTAATTTTAAAAGACAATTCTCACAAGGGTAAGCCTATTTAAGACATAAGAACTTCATTTTTCTAATGTAAATTTTTTATGTTAATTTTTAGTATGTTTTGAAAAAGAGTAAAATAAACTCGAAAGCTTAGCAAACCTAAAAGAGTTTTACTTAAAGGCCAATATATTGACTACTAAACCCAATATATCCGTATATATTACTCACATAGTCACTAAAGCCCTTTCTAAGAATATATATATATATATATATATATATATATATATATATATATATACATATATATATACATAGAAACAACACAGTTTATTAAAGTTGCAGTCAGAATATTGGCCGGGATGTTAAAAAAACACTTTTTTGACTTTTTGTCAAAAAAGTGTGTTTTTTTTAACATCCCGGCCAATATTCTGACTGCCACCCTAATAAACTGTGTTGTTTGTTTATATCGACAGTCACTAATATTCAGTATTTCTTGTATATATATATATATATATATATATATATATATATATATATATATAAATATATATATATATATATATATATATATATATATATATATATATATATATATATATATAGTATGTTCCAATTTAATCATAAATTTCCGATGATCAAAGCATATCTACTTGTATCTTAAAGACAAAGAAAAATTCTCATTTGATACCACGTTAAAATTGAACTATAACAATTCCACTTTGAGCAACAATAGTTTTTGATGGTTATTCACTAAAAATCATATATATTATAACTATCAAAAATTAATATATTTCTTACCTTTAATAGCACATGCCACAATGACAGTGAATATCGTCAGTAGATTCAAGACAGTACAAATATTATTGAACATAGAGGATTCTTTCATGCCAACAGATAGAAGAACTAAAAAAAATACATAAAATTTAAAATCGTTAAAAATTTTTTTGTGTGTAATGTTAAGAGTATCTTTTAAATTTTTACAAATGATATCTAGATTTCAGTAATATACTATTGTACAAGAATGTTATAATTATGCTATTAGAGTCTCCCAAAAAGATTTCCTTTCTTATCATTGTAAGTAAAGCCTGAGAAAGGATATGAAAAGGAACATTCAAACAACTTCCCACAACTCGTTATCCCTAGATTTCAATTCGTTCTCCCAGAAGGTTTATTTTCAAAGTGCGAAAACACCTGAACTGTGTATCCACAAAGTTAAAAGAAACTCCAAATCTATAACACGAACCATTATTGTTTTATGAATCGTAATGATATTAAACAGTGGACGACAAGTGATAAATCATTGCAAAATGTTATTTTTGACAACATAAAAAAATTTCCTTGTAAGACTAATATTTTGTAAAACATGTTTTGGCTTTTTTAAGAGCTATTTGAATAAAAAAAATGTAGACTAGTACTTACTTGTAAGAAGTACAATGATTGCTAAGGCCAGAACATCTGGCGTGTGTGTGAGATAAGGCACATCAATGGAAAACCAGCTTGCAATAGTTAAAGCAATTTTCTTCTCAAACAATGCGTCTATATAACTGCTCATTCCGCTAGCCACACTGGCAGCCCCTAAAAGTAAAAAGATTTTATTGTATTTGCTCACAATCACAGATAAAATGAGCTTACCCAATACTGCCCCCAAAAGTAAATTCCATCCCACTACGAATGCGACTAGTTCTCCTACTCCCGCATAGCAGTAAGCGTAGGCGTATCCAGTTCTTGGTACTCTAGCTGCAAATTCTGCATAGCATAATCCTAAAAAACAAAATGCTGAGGTAATAGATATCAAAACTGTTTAAATTTTATAAAAAAAATACTTTGCTAAAAATGCATTGATAAAAACAATGATACAAATGATACAAACCCACTGTAATGATCTATATATTCATTAGATAGACTAGGGCGGATCTGTTTTGCGGTGAATATGAGAAGTGGCATTCTATGAAAAATGCAACATCGTCCGGTCTACTGAAATTAATAGACAAAGGTGGCTAGGACACCTTGAAAGAATGGACACTGAAGACCCCCAAAGACAGATATTCTATCAAGAGCCAGTAGGAACCAGGAAGAGAAGTAGGCCAAGATCTAGATTCAAAACTCAAGTCAAAGATGACTTGAGGAATCTAGGGTCAGAATTTGGAAAGCCAGGGCGAAAGATAGGGGTGGCATGGAGACTAATTCTTGAACAGTCCAAGACCCACCCAGGGTTGTAGAGTCAAAGATAATGATCCTTGTTGTTCTTCTGATATGCCTACGGTATTAATTAATTGTGCAACTATTACACTTAGATATTAACATCACAAGAGCTGGAATGATAGAATAACCAGGACCGTGTCTTACAAGAAGAAGAAGAAGGAGAAGATGGAGAGGAACGTTATACTCATAAATTAGAATAACTCTTAAGTTAACCTGAAATGCTTTTTGGTTTGTTCCTAGCATTCCTGTAATCTTTTTTTGTTTTCCTCTATTTTAGAAATAAGAAAAACCAAATCAAAATAAAGGCAAAAGAAATGTAATTTTTTAGAAGACGGTGCAGAGTCATAAGACGTTAATATACATTAATGATGCTTTCTTTATGCGCATAATAAATTAATGAATGGAATCAGACAAGAAGAAGGAAGAGAAAAAAGACGATGGAAAAAGAAACCCACTAGACGGTAGAGAGTATTAATATAGTAAAAACTGTATAAATTTTTAGCTCAAGTTCTAATTTCTAGTTTCTAAATAATCGTAAACAAATTTCTATACACTAACCTCCAAATAGCGATATTATAGCTGCAATAAAAAACGATATCGAAGATGCTGGGCCTGCGTAGGTTTTCGCAACAGATCCTGCGAGGACATAGACTCCGAGACCTAGTGTAGAACCAGCACCTAGACCAATCAGATCTACCAAGGAGAGCACTCTTGCTAAACTTGTAGTTTCTTCATTGTATGTAAACGTCTTCTTCCTGGTAATCGCAGCGAACAGTTTTTTGGCCATCTGAAACAAAAAGAAAAGTAAATACATTTGGAAAATTATAGAGTTTTTAGTATAGGAAGAGATAAATTGAAGATTAACCTCGTAAACCGAAGTTATTATGGAGTAATAAAAATCACCTGTAACGACATGCATCGCCTCGGTTCTATCAGCGCTCCACACAACACGTAGTCCCATCACAAGTTATTTCCAGAAAAGACGTCCAGAATTCACGAAATCCAAGAAGAAACGCCTCAAAGCAGTATACTCTTGCCCTTTTTATACAACATTTTTATTTCAGACCTACCAACAGATCCAAGAACAAGTACAGCCCTCTAGGCAGACGGCACGGCAATATATGCAACAGGAAAGGATGATAGAGGAATAGTCCAAAACATAAACAATGATCTCGAAAGAATCATAGAATACACCGAAAAATGGAAGATCAAAATTGTAGCATCTAAAAAATTCCTGAACTATCGAATATTCAAGTGATAAAAAATTTTTTGGTACGTCCCTAGGCCAAGTATAAATATTTCGCTGATTATCTGTTTATGCTTGAAAAATTCAAAGTTCTTGTTATAACTGCGACGTTCAATATGGTTATATTTATTTGTACGTCTTAGTTCTACAATTTTAAAAGCAAGCAATGATTCAAGGTCAAATGCTCCCTTGAAAAGAATTCCGGTTCGCTGGCCCGTTGCGTGGACGGGTTAGAGAGGAAAAGTGCGACAGAGGAAGCCGGCCGGTACAAGGAAGGTCGACGTAAAGTCAGCTTTGAATGATTTGTCATTGAGAGCACACGGCTGCGTGGTAATTTAAGTGAACCGGTAAATTGGTTAAAAAAAGTGAAATATACTCAATGTAATATGTCAATTTTGAACGAGTAATCACTGTTTTGATTTTATGTCGTCTCTCACCTAAGAGATTTGTATCTAAGAGATTTGCGGCGTTTCCAACAAATTTAAAAAATACCCACATAATTCCAGTTTTTTAAGAAGCGGAGCTCAAATTTAGCTTCCAACACCACAATTTTAGCTTCAATTTGTTTTGTCCTAAGAAGCCGTTTCAGAACATTTTTCGCAGTTTGGAGATGAATTTTTCGTGTGGCAGAGAGTATAATTCCAGTTCCTAACCTACAGGAAATTCTTTTGTGTTGAAATTTAAAGGAAAAATAAACATTTTCTAATAATAATTGCTTTCATAACAATTAAGGAAATTGTAATAATTAAAATTGTAGAACTTAGGGTGTGGCTTAGCTGTGATTTTAATTGTTCTTAGTTTTAAGATGTAGTGTTGACATATGCCAGTTAGCACTATTTTTGTCATTTGGTAAATACCTAATCATATTTTTTGAGATTTTGTTTTTGTTTTTTAAAAAAAGATTAACCTCTATGCATAGTTTCATTTAAAATGATATTTTTTTTTATTTGTAATAATTTATTTCTGCTACAAATTATTACCCATTAACAATTGTAGGTATTGTATTACCTCCAACTTTAAGAGTTTCTAAACTGCTAGGACATAGTAAGTGTTTTTTTTTGTTATTTTGGTATTTACCCTTGTTTAGTAGTACTTTTTTGTATTATCATTTCTATTTGTGACTGTTTGTGGTGAGATAATAATGTATAATAATAATAAGATAATAATAAGATGATAATGATGAATAAATGTTTAATTTTTTTCCCCAAACCAATTTGTTTATTTCTTTTGTTAAAAAAGTTTCTAATGTATTTTGTGTTTTTAGGAAGGAAGAACCTTTTCCTTCATCCAGCAGAAAGAATCTTCAAGGCGGCGTCCATTTTAAATAGCTTTGAGGATCTTCTTGTGTTTTTGCTTGTCCAGGAGACTTATGTAAGTACAACTTTGTTTCATTTACCCATTTAAAAAAGTGATTTAAATGTTAATACGCCTGACTGTTGGAGCTATTTTATTGTCTTTCATGAAAAATTGTCTTTCCATCAGGTACTTAGTCGACGAAAAGCTTTACGTTCATTATATCGAAGAAGCAGATAACACTATAGCAGATGGAAATGATTGGCATTTATTCAACCCAAACGAAAGACCACCTACCACTGAAGAGGTTAATCAAGCAATTAAAAAGCTTAAAAATAATATAGCACCAGGAGCTGATCAAATTTGTAGTGAGCTCTACTAGAATTGTGGCGACACTTTGCTACAAGCACTGCATCTACTTTTACTTGGTGTTTGCCAAAATGAGACCATGCCCTATGAATGGTCTCAAGGCGACAAAGCGTGATATGCCTGTAACACAAAAAAAGGCGATCAGATCCAGTATGTCAACTACAGAAGTATAACTCTGTTAACTTGTGCTGACAAAATACTAGCAAATATTCTTTACGAAAGGCTACAAGTTTACACAGATAGCATTTTTGGAAAATACCAGTCCGGATTTACTCTAGAAAAATTATCAATTGACCAGATTCATTTGATAAGACAGATCCTCGAGAAATATTGGAAATTAACATTGAAACCCATCACCTATTCGTCGACTTCAAAGCCGAGTACGACAGTGTCAAGAGAAGAGTACTATACCAATCAATGCGTGAGTTTGGTATACCAGAAAAACTTATCCAATTAACGAGATTGACAATGTCCAACTTAAAAGTTAGTGTTAGGTTGAAAATTCTCGATCCTTTGAGATAAAAGATGGACTCAGACAAGGGGATGTCCTGGATTGCCTTCTATTTAAAATTGCCTTGGAAAAGGCAGTTCGAGACACACGAATTAGAGACAGCGGTACTATTTATAATAGATCGATACAAATCTTAGCTACAGAATAATAAACAATCAGAATGCCCACTCTCCATGGAAAATTAAGTACGCGCATCTCGTTTGCGCAGACGTTCCGCCATGTTTTAGAGGGAACCAGTGTTGTTTATGTGGTGTGCATAGAAAAATTAACCCGGTTTAATTGGCTTACGGCAATCATAGATATAGGACCTACTATACAATTATAATAACATAAATATAATATAATTAAACATAAATATAAACAATTACATAATCTCACACATCATATGTCTGTGTTATGTCCTTCTAAAACATGGCGCGCGTGCTGAAAAACTTCAAAGGCGGCATCAGAGTGGGCAATCTCATTGTTTATTATTCTGTGTCTTAGCATACGCTCATGACATTGACATAATTGGGCGTAAAACACAAAACAGACATTTAAAAAGGGGGTACTTTGTAACATTACATCATTTGTGTGAAGGAGGAACTGGCAAACAGAAATAGTTTTTTATTGGCTATTAATTTTGATAGGCAAAATTGACGTAGTTGATGTCGTTGTAGGTTAAGCATCGAGCAATAAGACAAAAGAGGGAATGTAAAGGTAGTGGGTAGATGGTAAACATATTGATAGACAGGAAGTGCCATCTTGAGAGGCCACTTTAGACAAGGATAGACAGTCTCTTTCCTTGTTTAAGAAGTCAAATTTAGTTAGGTTATATTATTGTTTGTCCCAACTGTCACATGAAATTTTATTTATATTGAAATCTTTTACCTATTGTGTCACTTTTTAGACTATTATAGTTAATATTTAATTAAAACTTTCTCGTCTGAAAAATATTTTATAGCTATTGTTAATAAGTGTTGGAAAATTTAAATTTAGCGCCTTTGCATTTCCGGATATGTCCGCCATCAGAGGCCACTTTTTTGGTCTCCTTTTCATAACGATTAGATTCCCTCTTTTTGCTCGATGAGGTTAAGGCACCGAACAAGTTAAGGTGTAACACATCTTCTTCTCTTTTGTTAGTACTGTAAATAAGGTTAACAAACTAGTTGCTAGATGATATGAAGTAAACATACATATATATGACTTTGATATAGTGATTAAATATTTAAATAGATATCGTAATCTAATTTTTGAATAATATTGGCATACTTTTTACAAAGACTCAATGAATTCAAGATCCATATCTAAGATTTCAAGATTTAAAAAAAAAAGAAATTTGTCAAAAGTTTTCACGTCTTCTAAAGCATTGACTGTTTTCGATAAAATTTATAACGGAGTGGTCAATATATTGTTTATGCTTGTATTCCTAGTTTGTTTACATTTCCTTGGACTGTTGTTATCATATGTCTTTCAAACATTTGTACTACATTATCGTAAATAAATTTATTATTTTCGTTAATTAAAGACCAAAACAATAATTGGAAAAACCCATGCGGTACGAGAATGCTTATGTTTCATGTATTAATTCTATAAATACCAGATTAGATAAAAGTGGAACAATGTCCGTTATAGTTAATACTGTTAATTATTTCGAATATGCGAAAATTTAAACATAAGCTTATCTTATCTTCATTGTAGTGGTGTTTAACATGTAGACAATTGATTCCCGGTTGTCAATTCATTTACTATAAACAAATTAATAGAGAATATGGTAAAAGTGCCTCTATCATCATCCTTTTTATTTTTCTTTATGCATATGCTGGGTCCGTTTCCTTCAATTACATTATATGTCTTTTCTAAGCTCTCCTACTAGAGCTTTTTTAATTCTTCCCCTCTACTCCTTCCAGAATCTTGCAGCTTAGCGATGGTTTATGCTGGATTATTATCATTTCACTGTAGAAATTCTGCATCTCTTGGTGTCATTTTTAGACTACCCCAAAACCATAAATTTTGGATTTAATACGTTGTTTTGCTCAGTTGTTTCTTAATTGTTCTGTTCTGTTCTGAGGTGATGATTTATGAGCTGTAACATTTTTAGTTTGTTTAAATGAGGTTTGAGAAGACTACATTCGACCGGAGAGTTCTGAAGTTTTATTTGATTGTAAATTTGTTTGGAATTAGAAGAGGCAACGCCGATTTTGGATAAAAGCAAAGATATTGAAGATGAGTGATGATAAGTTTCGTAACATAACAGAGAGAAAAAATAAGGCATATCAACGACTACAATAACGACATAAAACACGAAAGGCAAAGGAGGAATATAGAATGCTAAGGAGGGAAGAGAAAAAAGTGCATCGCAGAAAGAAAAGAGAACACATAGAAAAAG